CCCAGCCTTCACCAAGCAACTTCACCTCCTTGAGCCTCACTTCCTCCATTGTAAATGGGGATCTCGGCATCTCTCTCATGGGCTTATTTTCTCCCATGGAAATTTTAAAAAGGAGATGAGCCTGTAAGTGGCTTTAATAAAAGGGAACAAAGGCAGTTTTTATGTTCTATTACATTTTTGTTGTTTATATATATATATATACACATACATATACATATATATATACACACACACACATATATATATACATATTATACAAGAGTTTCCTTTAACTCAAGCCATTAAAATATTCAGGGAAGTTTGTCACTTCTCAGCAAAGCATTCTCATCCCATCAATGCCAGAGACTTCCTGAAGCTCTCAGAGAGACACACTGTGAATTCTATGAATTAACTAAGGAAGTACAAGTTCATTAACCCCAACTCGACATGGGCACCTTGGACTGCAGGTGATGGTTGCTACACACAATATACAAGGGTTATTGGAAAAGTTCACCAGTTTTTGCTTCTTTTTTGTTGTTGTTGTTGTTGGTTCTTGTTTGTTTGTTTGTTTTGGTTTTCTCTTTCTTTTTCTTCCTCATACAAAGTGTTGAACTCTTTACCTAGAGTTAATCTTTTGTGTATAAAGTTAAATGAAAATAGATCTTAGTAAAAAAAAAAAAAAAGAACAAGACTGGGAACAGGAGAGGGAATAGGAAGAGGGGTAGGAGTGTGGGTGGGAGAGTGGGTACAGTGGGAAGAATTACTATGTTCTAGGGCCAGTGCTGTGGTGTAGCAGGTAAAACCGCCGCCTGCAGTGCTGGCATCCCATGTGAGTGCCGGTTCGAGACCTGCATGCTCCACTTCTGATCCAGCTCTCCGCTGTGGCCTGGGAAAGCAGTAGAAGATGACCCAAGTTCTTGGGCCCCTGCACCTGCATGGGAGACCCAGAAGGAGCTCCTGGCTCTTGGCTTCGGATTGGCGTGGTCAATTGGGGAGTGAACCATAGGATGGAAGACTCTTTCTCTCTCTCTCTCTCTCTTCCTCTCCTCTCTCTGTGTAACTCTTTCAAGTAAAATAAATAAATCTTAAAAAAAAGAATTACTATGTTCCTAAAGTTGTATTTATGAAATGCATGCATGTAAATAAAAAATAAATAAAAAGAAAAATTCCTGAAAAAAATTAAAAGTCTAGCTTATTTTGGTGCAAAATATTTTGAAATCCATGCATAGCTTTTTCATAGTGTACATTTCCCATTACATTTTGAAGACTCCTAGTATGCATGGATTTCTTTTAAGTCCATTTCCACAAACTGTTTGAAGGGCCTTCATATTTGGCATATAAATAAGCCAAAGGCAGTCTCTGAACAGTGGCCTCCAGGTGGTTAATGTCCACTGTGGATGAAACCTAATAGCTCAAAGCCTGCTGGAATCAAACTCAAAATTATACACACACAATTATTTTTAAAATAGTCCAAACAAGCAAATGTTTAGTCATTAAGAGACTTCCTACTTTGCCTACCCCTTGAAACCTCACCCAATAGCTGTCACCCAATGATAAGCTAAAGTCTTGTGGTTCTAAGGCCAGTAGGAACTGTCTGACCCACAAATACCACGTGACAGTCCCCTTCCCAGTGCCTTTTCTCTCACAGGTTTGCTTTTCCTTTTCCCCTTTGGATAGTGGTGCCTGTGCCATATGCCTCCTGCATGTCTCATGCTATGAGGGGATTCCCTTCCCATAGTGTCCTGTGCCAGCAGCATTGAATAAGGCTTGTATTTGATTCATCTAATCCCTCAAACCCACTCTCTGCACCAACAATATTCCATGGACCAGAAGCATTACCTAAAACCCTATTAGAAAGGAGCATCTTGAGTAACCACCACAAGATCCACTAAACCTGGCTCTGCATGTTGACAATATCACCACAGTTGTGCACATAGCAGCTGAAGACACCTGTGCATGTTGCAATCGAAGACTTGCTGGGCAGAGAGACTTTCATGCAGGGGTCCGTGTAGTAGCCAAGTATAATGCACCAGAAATGTAATAAAGACATCAGCTCCTATTTGGGCTAATTCAAGCCCCATTGTGTCCACTAACTCATTTCACTGGCACTTTCTTGCTTCTCATAATGTGTACTAAGTAGGCAGGTATAAAGAAAGCCAGTCAAGACCCCCTTACACAGAGAATGGACTCTTCATGGGAATCCTTTTTGCTGTGGTGGATCATGGCCACTGTCCAAACACACACACACACACACACACAACTTAACCAAATGCACATACACATCCCGTACAGTGGCCGCGCAAAAATATAACCAAATTACTACCCAGTCTGCAAGCATTTATCCACTGACACCTACAAAGGCTTATGCAACACAATGAAAGTCTCTTAAGCTCCTTTTGTAGGGGCGTGGGGTCCCGCTGCGGGATCCTGAAAAGATACCAAAAAAAACGATCTTTCAGATTCCAACAAATGGATGTAACATCTCTTACAAAACACGGTTGGGGGGTAGATGCTCAGAGGCGCCGACAGGAGGAGCCAGGAACAAAAGAATCCCTGCTACACAAAGGCACAGGGAGCCAATGAGTGATCCTGAATGAAACTGCCTCCTCACAAGATAGTCAGTTCCTAAGCCCCAGGGCACCACGTGAGAGAGAACATCCTAATTATTGGCAAGAAAAGCCTGGGTGAGACAAGTGCAATTTGCTTGTGTTTCCTGGATCTGCATCCAGGCAGTTACACGTGCTTAGAACTATCCAAGGTACCCCGAGAGCTTCCTCACTGAGCAGACTGAATTGCATGTTAAAAAAAAAAAAAAAAGTGCTTGTTAAACAAAAGATATCATTAACTGCATGTAATGAATTTCACTGATTTTTAGGAAAGTTGCTCCTGTCCTTATTCAGTGCTTTTTACATCCTTAATTCGAGCACAGTTCTAACCATCTGTGTGATCTGATTTCTCAATCTGAAGACAATCACAAGCAATAACTGAGAAATAGCACCCCCCCTCCCCCCCAGATGAGGATGAGCTTGTGGCAGGGAACTAGTAAAAGCAGCAACTTTAGTACCAGTAGCACTATAGTCCCAGAAGTGCCTAGTAACAGATGACCAGTGAAAAACAAGAAGTCATTAGTGAATATTAAGAATACCCTTGGGACCCGGCGCTGTGGCATAGAAGGTAAAACCGCCGCCTGCAGTGCCGGCATTCTATAATGGTGCTGGTTCAAGACCCAGCTGTTCCACTTCCAATCCAGCTCTCTGCTATGGCCTGGGAAAGCAGTAGAAGATGGCCCCTGCAACCATGTGGGAGACCTGGAAGAAGTTACTGGCTTCTGCTTCCTGGCCTTGATCAGCAGGCTCTGGCCATTGTGGCCATCTGGGGAGCGAACCAGCAGATGGAGCATCTCTCTCTCTTTCTCCTTCTGCCTCTGCCTCTCTGTAACTCTTTATTTAGCCTTTTGGATAAATAGATCCTTAAAAAAAAATACCTTTAAAACTCAAAGGCACTTATAGTACTATGTAGTACAATATGTTGCTAATGAATTCCCAGTCAATAAGTAATTATATGTTTAATTATATTTAACAATTTCAGTTTAAGAAATAAATTTACTGTTACCTTCTATAACTATGTCCATAACCAAAAAGATTGTTTTTAATATGAAGATCTGGACATTGAGAGTTTAGTTTCAATTTTGCAGAAAACATATTAATATGGAATAGTTAAATATGGCACTACTTTAGTAAATACATTACATTCAGACTTTCCTTTCATATAAGTACTTGGAAGTCTCTACTAATTGAATCCACAACTTTAGAATATCAATTCAGCCAAAGTTAAGTGACATTTGCTGTGTGCCAGGCAGTGTATTAGGTGTTAACAGCACAAAGATGGGTGAGAACGGTATGAACCAGGCCCTTCTCTCCAGGACAGTTAAACTTAGAATTTTCAAATGCCTTCTGATTGACCAGGGAGTGCAGTGGTAAGGGGTGCATGTTATTTCACACAATATGAGTGGAAGCTGTGTTTCATGAAAGCTGAATACAGGTGGAGATTCCCTACTATCCTGCTTATCTCGAATAGTTGCATTCACACTGGGATTCCATTTTTAAACAATTAGGAAAGACAGAATGTCAAAATGTCTTTAATAACCTTCTCCCTATGAGAAGGAAAGAATAAATGAGTTTAATTCACTTATCCCACATGTATCCAATGTCGATTTTTGCTAGACTTCGACAAATTGCAGATGTAGATTCTCTTCATGCCCTACTCCTTCTGGGATGCGGAGGAGTAAGAGAATGTGGACAACCTAAACCTTGCAGGGGCAAGCACAGCCTGAGATACAGCGAGCAAAGGCAGCCTTTGGGAGCCTTCCTTTCCCGGAGCCTCCCTGGCCTCCCTCCCAGTTAGGACGAATGCTGGGTGGAGGCAGCCCTGGGGGTGCCCTTCTCTGCAACCTGCGAATGCACACCCACCCCCGTGGTTTTCTGACCACAGCAAACCTGAACTCAGAGTGGTGAAACCTACGTCTGGAGGCAAGGAGAGGACAGGAAGGAACTGAGGCCCAGAGGAACAAAGGTTTTTCTCCAAGCTGAGGCTCTCTACGTCAGCTATTTGAACTTACTGTCTTTCTCCTCAGAAAGTTTGCATCAAAAGCATAGTTTTTCCAAGGTGGCTTTCTCAGCTCTCTCCCTTACAGTGACATCTTTTGGCACAGAAGGGAAGAGAGAGGGGGGAGAAAGAAGAAAGGGAGAGGAAGAAAAAACAGAGGAATGAAGAATGAAGGGAGGCAGGAAGAAAGAAAGACCTTATCCCTTTTTCATCTTTGAAAAGTAACAGAGGCAGCATCGCCATTTCAGCCATTTCACACACATACGTATGTATGTGTGTGTGTGTATATATATATATATATAGAGAGAGAGAGAGAGAGAGAGAGAGAGTATAACCCCTTGGGATCCCAGCAGGTCCCTCTTCAGCCCTTCATGGCCTCTGCTGCTCCTCCCTGCCCTACCTCCCCCGTCACATACCTTCACTGAAGACGAAGTCTGAGACGATGTCAAAGGGTTGGATGTGCACTGCCGACAGGATCATTGTGACCGTCTTTTGTGGATCACTGGAGGCGAGAGAAATGCTCTGCTGAGCCTGACACTCGTAGGACTTGCCAGCGGGGGTGACCAAGGCAGACAGGTGATGCGAGTTGGCCGTGTGCTTCCCAGCTGCAGCAAAGGTCCAAGGCGATGGTTAGGGCCCTCTTGCTGGTGAAACCCTCACCGTTCCTAACCTGGTGCGCCAGAGTGGGTTCTTGCCCCCCAGCTCCATACCTCCAACCCTCCTGTCCTCTGTGTTGCCATGCCAGGGACCAGGCTCTATTGGTGGCATAAATGGTGATCAAGGACAAACACCCTCATTCCCTTGTGAGCCAGCACTCATTAAATAAAATTTGGATTTTCTTTTTGCAAGAGTGATATTTAAAAACCCAGCCCATTTTACTATATAATAGTTTATACTATAGAAAACCTTACAATGGAGATTCCAAAGATACAGAAACACAAGTGACTTGGTTTATCACGTGTCCCACTGAGCCCAGCCAGGAATGACAAGTCTTAGCCAACCTCTAATGCTCTGGGTGCATGCCCTTGCATTCAGGCAAACGCTTTGGAAGTCTGTACCCCCCTTTTTTTTGGCTTAAGTTGGGGATTTTTAAAGCCCTTTTTAAATTTTAATGTCTTGGTCTCACTTAATTGGGGGAAATGCTTAAAATGTGAATTTTGATAAAGAGGAGAGAACACACTTTTTTACTGCATTTGTAAAGAAGGGAATAAGGGAGAAATGACACATGTGTTCTTTTACATGTTCAATAAAAAATCCTTTCCCAACACTGCTGCCTGGGTGATGGCAGGCCTCATTTTGAGTGAAGTAAGAAATTTATAAAGAACAAAAAAATTTAAAGGTTATCTTTGATGGTGCCTGCAAAAAATAAAAAACACTTATTTTGAGGATGGATGCTCCTCTTACACCACAGTATTTTTGGAGAATCTGGGTGAGTTGTTGCTGTGATGGGCACAAAAAAATCACGAATTAAAACATAAGGCCCAACAAGCTCACTCTGAACCGGCTGCCGACAGTGACTGAAAAGCTTGTGCGAATCCCGGGTGCCCTGCGCAGATGCGGAAGGCCGTCAGAGACTGTTCCCTTGCAGCTTTAACTCCCGAAAAGAACAGCTGGGGTGCCTAAGTAAATACATAGAAATAAAACCGTGCCCTGTTCCGTGCTCTTTTGAAGCCCAAATCAGAAGACGCCGTCCTAAGGCAGCCGGGCACGACAGACCCTCGAGGGACGTCTCATCCAGGGTCACCAATTCGTCCTCGGACCGGGGATCCCTTGCGCACCAACAAGGTCTGAGATCCAGAGAACACCTAGGCGTTCCTGCCTCCCTCGACCTGGAGGGTAACCCAAGGCTGGCCTCCGCCTGGGAGCACAAAGGCTTGACCGGTTTCCAAAACCCTGAGAAATTCGCCCTCCCCGCCTGGCCGCGCTTTCCCAGACCCCTCTCCAGCCCAGCTCGACTTTACTCACCGCGAACGGCGTCCTTAAAGTGGGTCTTCTCGGAAGAGTCGTAGACAAACTGCACCTTGCTCAGCCTCCACGTCGCCTCAGGGCCCTTGGACGTGTTGTGACTTTCCTGCCGTGCAGGAGAGTGGCGCGTCAATCGCCCTCAACCGCTCCAGGGTCCAGAAACCCAGGGACTGCTCTCCCCAGGCCCACCCGGAGCCTGGGGGCCCTCTGCCCGCCCGTTCCCGAGTTACCTTTACAAACAGCATTTTGAGCGAGTACGCGCGATCCACCCAGAACACCTGCAGCTCCGATTCGTTGTGGCCACAGTGGCCCTGCACCTCGGCTCCCCGGGTCAGCGCGATGTCAGCCTGTTCTGTGATCAGCTGGGAACACAGGCGCCCCGCGCCCTCTCAGCGCGCCCGGCCCCGCGGAGGGGCCGGAGAGGGACTGGAAAGGGCTGGGCGTCCGAACTCTGGGCTGCACGCTTGGGCGCTCCTTTGCGCGCGCGCGCGCTCCCAGGTCCGGGAACATGCGGTTGTATGCTGAACGTGCAGACCCCGCCGGTAGGAAAGCGGAGAAAGGGGCGATTACTTTGAAAGCAGGCAGGACGAGCAGAAGGCGTTACAAGCCGGAACCCCCATGCAGCATTCAGGAACGGCCTGCTGGGGAGTTGGGGGTGGGGGGAAGGCAGGCGACCCAGGTCTTCGCAGGGACTCCAGGGAGGGTGCCCTTGACCCTGGAGCCCTAGGAGCAAGCTAGGGGAGGAAGGGTTCCTTACATCTACGTAATTGCTGGCCCACACATCATAAGGTACAATAAATTTGGCTGCAAACTCTGCCATGAGACACGTCGTCCCATTTTCCCGCACCACAAATATATCTTTTTCAGGGTTAGTGGAAAGGCCTGAGAGATTTTCCACTTCTTGTTCTGCTACGATTTGAGCCAGTGTATCTGCAGAACAAACAAACAAAAAATTCCCATCAGCTCAGGGCTTAGCGAGCTCACGCATCTCCCGCACTGGGGTGGAAAGACAACGGGTTGTCTGCGGGCTTTGGGGTGACAAAGTTCCCTGCCGGCAGCTGTGCGCTCTGCGAGGCATTTCTCTAACCCAGCGCTCACAAACTCGATTCTGCTCTGTTAATGTACAATAAAAATAATTTTAAAATTAAAAAAATTAAGTCCTTAAAAATTTGCAATACGGCCCCCATCCTCCCCCCAAATCCCCCCAACATCACATAATTCCTGCCAGTGCTGACCTCAGGAAGCCGGCCTGGCGCTCGGTCTGGGATGTGCCACACAGGTGTGTGGCTCTCCGGGGAATTCCTGCCACCGACCGAGAAGGCCCTCCCTCCCTCCCGTGGAAGAAGGAGGGGAGAGAAATCCGCAAAACAGAGAGACTAGCTAGGTTTCCCGTGCCGCTTGGGTTCCCCGCCAAGAGGGCACCCCGCCGAACGCTACTCACGGAACAGCATCAGCAGAACTCCAAGTGTGGGGACGCCCAGAACGGCTCTTCCCTGGCGATCCATGCTCGCAGCGGCGCGAACGAGGCCAGCTGTACTGCTGCAGAGGCCGCCCGAGAGGGAATCCCTCAAAGTCGCCGCGGGAGTGGGCCCGAGTGAGCCAAGGGCGGGGGCCCGAGAGGGAGGCGGGGGAGCGCGTGTTCCGAGCGCGCCGGCTGGGACTCGGTGCGCCAGCGGCCGCTGCGGGCGCTGGAGTCAGCTCACTGCAGAGGGAAGGGACGCGTGGGGAGGGAGCGTCCCCGGCTGCGAGCGCTAAGAGCAGCCCGCTTGTGTTGCAGAGGTACTTGCTTGTGGCTTGGCTTGTGCTTGTGCAGCGCGCCCCTGAGACGTAGGGGATCTCGAATTCTCGCTGCAATTGCAGCCGCAGAGATGAGTCTGTCCTGAGAAACTCAACAGCACCCTTAGACTTACTAAATTTCCCTCCTGCTGGGTACAGTTGTTTAGTGCTGTGGCTGTCACATCACTGGAGTCCTGGCTTCTGGAAACGCATCTGGTTCTGGAAGGAAAGCGGTCGAGCGCGCAAATTGTTGCTGCTCTGGGGGAGGAGGGGTAGACAGGAATAGAGAAGGAAAATGCTATGGCAACAGTTTCATCTCCACTGCTCTAAAGGAGCTCCTGGGTTTAAAGTCAAATTGACGCCTCTTCCAAAGGGGCCAGGAGACAGTGCAGTGTATCCACTCGGGCTTATTTCCCTGTAAGTTCTGCTTTCTGAGTGCTTGAGGACTGTGTACCCTGGGGTCACCCACCCTCACTCATTACGCTGTCATCACTCTGCCAGGAAGGAGGTGAGTGAACCTGAGATTTATGAGGGTTGTCTAGGGTCCTTTGTAGAACTGTAGAATTAGGCTCCAAGTAATGTCACATAGTTACGTAAGAAGAATACACACTGATAATACTCCAAAGCCTCTAATGGAACTGAAAAACAAATACTGTGTTACTAATTCCTATATTTACTTTTTTGGTAGCTTGTTTACTTTTAAATTTCGCTCTAAAAATCAGAATACACCTCTTTCAGGTGTCATACACTGTCCTCATCGATTGTGGTAATGTCCAAATACCTTTTGTAGAGGGTACTTCATTATGTGAGTTAATAATTACTGAATTGGTGATAGAATGCCATAAAACAAACTGACAGTGGCACATATAAAGGAGCAAATTGCAAAGGATTTTCAGCTGCATTGTTTAATTTGTACCTCCTCACTTACCTAAGGAGTCAGGAAAGGGAAGATGTAGGTTATTGTGGTTGTACATTCCACAGAACTGAGGCTCAGAGAAATTAAATGACCTTCTCAGAGTCACATGGTGAGTTAGAATTAAAATAGAAGAATCACATGCTTTAACTTTGCAAAGATCATTTTCATTTCTCCTTATATAATACTTTGACTCCAAAATATACCATATTTTCACTTTCACTAAAAAGCCTTTATGCAATGACCAAATTACTCACTTCCTTGAAATATACAGAATGCTGTTTTAAGTATAATCATATTCTGACATAGTCTTTGCTTCAAGTTACCTATTCTTTATTTTTTTGGCTTTCAAACACATTCTTCTGTCAATAATTAGATCATTAGCAATTCAAATTATAAAGTAATGCTTAAATTGATACAATATTTTTACATATTTATTTTCATATCTTTACATAATCTAGACATTTCTCAAGAACTTTAAGTAAATTCTATATATAGGAGAATTGAGATAAAGTTAATCAGAGAAGAAATGAGTGCATTTCAGTCTAGGATTCTTTATTTATTCCTTTTGTGACCTTGTAAAGATTTTAGTTTTCCTCACCTAAAAAAATGAGTTAACACTAAATTAAAAAAAAAATGAGTTAACAGCTACGATGCTGCTGTTAGGCCAAATGAATGAGTGCATATAAAAACATTCAAAATAATGAAAATTAAAAGAGTCCATAAATATTAACTGAATACCTATGACTTGCACTATGCTTGGTGCTTTGGAAACCAAAAGACAAACAAACATCATTATACAAGAGAGATACCTGTAAAATATTATGACAATTTTTCTTGTGGCATGTTATTTCACATACCCTCACTTTTTAAGTTGTTAAAAGGTCATTCATTAATTCATTCATAATAATCTGTCTGAACAATCAAAGATTAGATGGGAAGCATCATTTGGTCATTGGTCTTAAGATGCTGTATGTGATCTATAAATCAGATGGTAGTTCCTTTAAAGATTATTTCTTTCCATACCTATATAAATGATTTCTTTGTTGGCATCAGAGAGCAATGAAATGAATGAGGAAAAGAAGCAGTTTTAACCCATTCTTTCCGGGAGGTTCCTCTTCAAAGCATAGTTAATTCAATGTCCATTATGGTGTTTAAACTTGAGCATGGCTTTAAAATATTCATTAACTTATTCACCTTTTGTCAGTGATTTTTTTTTTTTGTTGCAAAAGGATTTGAACCACTCTACACAGTTTTCACCTAATTTAACAACTTTGTAATTATCCTGGAGATGTCTTCGGTTCCCTAAAACAGCCAAAGAGGTTTGATAAAGGAAAAAAATTACCATTAAATCATATTTTAAATCGATAATAAATTTCCTCCATTTTTTATTTTTCAAGCATAAGAGAAGGAAGAAAATCTGACGTCAACACACATAGGTGTATGGAGGGTGACATTGTCCATTTTTGTCCATGTTGCTGGTGTCCAACACCAACTACCAGGGGTTAGTATGACCCAAACACACTAGCTCTGAGATCTCCTCCAGGTTCCCTAGGTTTTTCAATGGATTACTTATTGGAAGAGCCTTTACAAACCTCATGCCATTGTGCAGTTCTCTTTGAGAAAAGTGAAAGCAAAGGCCCCTGAATAGAACTTCCAGCTTAGAGGGGAGAATATCAGAAGATAGAATTTAGGGGGAAATAAGACTGCCATTCTTGAGGGGTGAAGGGAATTGATTAAAAAAGACCTCCTGGAAAACTAGGTCTTGAAAAAAGTGGAAAAATTGACCTGAGGTGGAAGACAAGGAAAGGCAATGCAGATGGAAGAAATATCTATTGAATAGAGGAGTCAATACAAAGATGTAGCTCCTCACCCTTCCATGTTCATTAATTTGCAATAAGGAACTTAGGCCTCCCATTCCACAAAGCTTTATATATTACAAAACCTCTATTTGTTTCTTTATCTGACAAATACCCACATATGACATATGCAAAACTTGTCCTAAATAAAATTAAACTTTTCAATTTGTTATGTGCATCTCTTTATTTTTCGTTGCACAAGAAATCAACTAGTATTTGTAGAACAGAGGAACAAAATTATGAAAAGTCAGGAAACAACACTAAATTTAAAAATACATTTACAAGCTCCAAAACACAAAGGCTGAGTTTTGTTTCGGCAGAAATTTTTGGTTTATTGAATAATGAAGCATAAAAATGTACTCTCGCTCTGCTGTCCCCACCACTACCAGAGTGACTTTCTCACACACATATAGAGATAATGCAGACACACATGGATCACAGACACAGGGACAATTAAACCAAACTGAACAAGACACACACAGATGTCATGCCAGAATTTCTGTTTACCAAAAACTTTTTGTGAGTGAGTGAGTGAGTGTGTGTGTGTGTGTGTGTAGTGTATCATTGAGCAATTATTTTACTTTAAGCACTGGTTTTGAATATTTTTGGAACCCTTTCTAGTATAGAATTGGCTTGGGTATAGGAACTGAAAAATAAATGCACACAAGAACATTTTATGCAGACATTGCTAAACCCTGCAATATTTCAAAGGGACCAGAAAATTGAGTTTGGGCCTGTGAAAAACAGCCTGCACACTCTTGGAGTCATTTTCCTTATCCTGATTCTTTGGTGTCTCCTACACCTATGTTAGTGAAGAAGGGGCTGTTCCTGCACTGAGGGTTCCCAGAGAAGGGAAAACTGAACGAGAATACTGGCCTGTTCACTGAGCATGTTCCTACCAAAGTCCTGAAGAAATGTGCTTTATGAGTTCGTTTTCACCAAATGCTTTCAAGCTGAGGAAATGCAGAGAATGAGCTCCCCATAGAAAATCCCAAGTAAGGGGATGGTGAGAGGACAGGTAACATCTGTAGCAAAGAAGTCATGTTTGTCTTTTGAATTAATTAGCTGAACTGTTCTGGTCAGTTTTAAGTCAATAACACAGCGATTCAGTTGCCACTGGCCTCAATGTATAGGTTTTTAGGTCTTTGAAAACAATCCACTCTACCTCTTAGCATCAGGAAAACCTTGTTAGTTTGGAACAAGAGGCATTTGAGGTGTTTTTGTTTGTTGTTTGTTTGTTTTGTTTTTTCTTTTTAGCCTCTAAGAAACTGAAGGTTAGGCAAGCAGTGGTTTGGAGATAATGTCAGTACCCAAAATCTTTTTTTATGATGTGTCACAAGGGTTCCTTGTCTCCATACTTACTCTTTTAATTGTTTGAATTTATCTGCATATTACCTGGTTGGAGAACAAGGAAAATCTCTATGAATGGCCTTTGGGAATGAGCATGAGCGGGCAGTGAGAGGCCTTGTGCTCCTGTGGAAACTTTGCTAGTGCAGCAACTGGGGTTCTAGAACGTCCCAGAGTGCTCTGATGTTGAAGGCTTGGCTCCTTCTATGACTCTTTGTGGAAACATTGGAAGATGCTCTGGTAACAGAGAGGCAAAAGGGCCAAACATGCATTGGGAAGATGTCTGAGATGGGAGTCTAAGTATATCTCAGTTACGACTTCATTACTCAGTAGCAACAACATGGGGGAAGAATAGCTTCAGTAAGCCTTTCCTCAAAGACACCCCCACCCCACTAAATGTCCCACCTCTCTGAGCGATCTTATCAGGGAAGGGATCGGAGCAATTACACTGGGTGGAGGGAAATGCTAAGTATCTCAGTATCAAAATGTGAAGTATTTCCTGGTCAGGACACTTGTACTGTGGCCTGTAGTATAACCTTGAGAGGGCCCAGGGTTAGGTGGGCCTGGAAGCTCAGAACTCTGGATCCCTGGGCTGGGAGCTTCCTTATACGCACCTGTTGTCTAGTCCAGAACTCTGCTGGAACTCGCAACATCCTCAGCCTGGAAAAGACATGAGTGAGCACTTGGAACCCAGAGTGGGCTCCCTGGAACATTCGGGGAGCTGCTCCAGGTGTAGAACTGGGAAAGAAAAGCTAATGCCCACATACAAAGGTGAGGTCTGCATCTACTACAAAGCCACCCACCAGAGAGGGATCAATGGGGAGGGTTCTGGCTATGGAACCGCAGGCTCTTTTGTGGTTAGGTTTCTGGGGGAATTGGAAATAGAAAAAAAAATAAAAGAAAGGTTGGAGGGGGGCAGAGAAAACTCCTGATAGGGAACAGTTGCAACACTGCAGCTCCTAACAAACCTTGCACTCTGCAAACCTTGCGCTGCGCTGCACCGGGGAGGATGCTTGGTGAGATTCTGGCGCTCTTCTGCCGCCGGCTTCTCGGGTCGTCCCTTCGCTGCCCTGGGAAGAGCCTGGAGACTGGGAGGTGGGTGAAAGAATCAAAAGGGGAACTGACCAGGGAGACCCTGTTACAGCACCTTCTCCTCTCTCCTTCGATTTTTCCTTTTCCATGCCGTTAGGGCCGTGTGTGTGCAACACAGGAAATCTCCCCCAAAGTATCCCCGGTGGTCCAGCCTCCAGGTAAGACACGGGAAGGATGCTGCGTGTGTTCCTGAGCTAACGTCGCGCGGG